GGATCGAGGTGTGGGGATGCCTCGGTCCCGCGGTGCACCTTCCCAGGGTGGCCCTGTGACGGCAGTCTGCTTAGGCCCTTTGTCTTCCAAAAATTGTGTCTGGAGTCATGCACATGCACCCGGTGTCGCGTGCGCATACACATGACTTCGGGTGCCATTTTGGAATACAAAATGGTGGCCGAGTTGTGTGCATGTGCGCACGTGCCTCTGGCCCCCAGATCAAAAGTTTGGGGACCCCTGATCTATACTATACTCTTTCACACTATGCCTTTAAGAATGCATTGTGTGTGTGTGTGTGTGTGCGCGCGCATGTGCGTGCGTGTGTATACCCAAATTAATTAATTTCTAAAATGCATCTTAATATTAAAATACTTTTAAAATACTATTCATATATTAAAATATTAAATAACCAAAATAGCCAAAATACTACTGATGCTCTACAGACTTACATAACACTAAATAGAGAAAGTTCACAAATAAAATGATTTTGAGACTCTTACTTTATCAGCAATTCACTTCTGTTGAAAGATGTGAATAACATATGCAGTCTCTGACTTATGATTAAATCATGAATTAATAGTGGATCAAATGATTTCAATGATAGACAGTCAGTTATGCCCATAGCCTGCTTCAGACTGAATGGTTCCAAATGCAGTTAATTTCCACAGTATCCTGGGTTTGTTAAGTTCAGGAACATTCTCCAAAGTTCACTTCCAAGTCTCAGTCAAAACTCAAACTTTTCTATTAATTCATCTCCTCCTCCTGTACATCCAGGTAATTCTCCCATTATGACAAGAGTAAGTGTTTCAGTTTGTAGAAAGTGAAAATATTGACCGAAGGAAGAGTTTTAACAATTGCCTCTCTTTGATAAAGTAACTGAGTTGTTTTCATGGCAGAAATTTCAGAATAAACAAAGATCACTTCTGCTTCCAGACCCAAGAATGTAACTCCTCTGAACACTGAGGCAGACTATCTTTATCATACTCCTCCAGTGTTCTCTTTGGTGTTAGCCAATATTAGCCAAGTTTATTCAAGTTCAGATTTTCTCAATAAGAAATATAAAGTTATCTGTTAGTTAGCAGTTAGCAATTTGTTGAAAGGAATTCTTCTTGTGGTACATGGCTCACAAGGAAGAAAGAAAAGAAGGTAATGAGGGAGTGAAACAGAGATCTGGCTATGCTGCCATCTTCCCTCTCAAATTCCCCAACTCTGTGATTGTACAATTTGCAGCTGCTGCTGCCTGGAATTGAGTAGGATCTTCCTCTGCCAGTGGCACCAACAGGACTGCCAGTGTCCTTTGGCTTTAACTGGGGACTACTCCCCCCCCCTTCTACATCCAAGGAAGCCTCATCTATGACTCCACTTTCCCTTCCTACTGCTGCACAATCCCCGAAAAAGTGCAAAGTATGCAACAGGATTCCAGCCTCTGAGTAATTCTTTTGGTTTTCAGTTTCACTGTATTTTTGTCACCTGTTCCTGTTATCTCTTTTTGCTATGGTATAATATTTTGTGTTATTTCATTTTCATTTTCGGGATTTTTTGGAATTTGAGTTCCACTTCCCTGGTCAAACTTCCTGCTCTTCACTAATTCCCAGCTATGCCCTTTGCATACTGGAATGGCTTGTCCTGGATTTGCATCACCCTCCCAGCCAGTTAATATCTCCGATCAGAGTATGCAAATGAATTCAGATTGGATTCCTGCTATCTACATCTGGCCTGTCTTGCTGCATTATCGTATCTCTGATGTACAGCATGATGTGACATGACACCTCTTAATGCCACATGATGCAACCCGAGAGGGGTCGGCAGAGGGAAGACATTACGCTCGGGTGTGCTCTGTTTGGGTTCTTGCCCTTCATTTCTGATAGGCCTTCAGCCATCTAATATAAACACATCTGATGGAATAAAAGCAAACAATGAATGTTTGAGAGGGGAAGCAGGCTGGCTGCTCCTCTGTTCCAGCACCTCTCATTTCTAAATGGCAGTTTAAGAATTAATTTCATAGGAGAGCTGAACAGAAACCAGGGTAGAGAACTGGATGCTGATTTTCACAAATGTTCTCCATCACAGCCACCACACACTTTCAGCATTTTGACAAAATCTTTATAACACTGGGTAGGAGAAAAAAAATATTCTTTTTGACAACAATTCCCGAGCTCTTCCATCCATCATGGCCACATTCAGGCTGTTCAGTGATCCTCTCTGGAAAAAATAATAATAAACAATTCTTGTATATCTGCAAACTTCAGTGCCTTCCAACTTGTAGATGGTTGGTATCATTTCAGCTGCCTAAGGAAAGGTATGTACTTATGAATAACAGATATATTGGGAAAAGAATAAAGCAACCCAGGAAATGGGAAGAGCTATAAGGGGAGGAGTTTGGTTGTTGTTGTGTGTCTTCAAGTAATTTCCAAGTTATGACAATCCTAAGACAAACCTATCATGGAGGTTGCTTGACCAGACATGTTCAGAGGGGGTTTGCCAATGCCATCCTGTAAGGCTGAGGGAGTGGGTTTCTATGACTGAGCAGGGATTTGAACCCTGGTTTCCCAGATTCCTGATCCAAAACCCAAACCACTATGCCACTGGCATGGTTCTGTCCTACAGAATCCTATAGGGGCAGAGAAGGCTAAAGACCTTGTCAAACCATCCGATGTCATCTGGGGGAGAGACACTAGGCCCAGCACCATCCAGTCTAGAATAAGAAGAACCCTTACTTCTTAAAGGATGGGTGGGATTTGGGATTTTATGTTCTGTTTAATATATCTGTATGGAAATTGTAATGTTGTAAGCCACCCCGATTGCTCTGCAGAGGGGCGGGATATAAATAAATTATTATTATTATTATTATTATTATTATTATTATTATTATTATTATTATTAAACTACAAATCATAGGATTCCATAGGATGATGCTACAGCACTTAAATTGCTGTCAAACTACATTATTTTTACAGTGTAGATTCCTGCCAGTGTTATGTAATGGTCTGAGAGTGGACTACAACTCTGGAGACCAGGGTTCAATTCTTCACTTGGCCATGAAACCCACTGGGTGACCTTGGACAAGTCACATGCTCTCAAACACAGGGGAAGGCAATGGCAAACCTCCTCTGAACAAATCTCTCAAAGAAAACTCCATGGTAGGTTCGCCTTAGCTCAGAAATGACTTGAAGGCACACAGCAATAAGTAATCCTTAGCATCTGGATGCTTTACTTTATTAATTAACAAGGAAGACTTGTCATGCTTTCCCATATTGAACCCACCACTTTAACTGCTGTCGCTCCATCCTATAGAATCTTTGGATTTGTAGTTTTATGAGGCACTGCAGTGTTTCTACAGTGTAGACCAGGGGTAGGCAACCTTTCCCCTTTAAGGGCCGAGGGACTTCAGCTCCCAGAATCCCGGGAGCTATTGGCCAACATGGGATTATTGGCCAACATGGCTGAGGCTTCTGGGAGCTGAAGTCCCTTGGCCCTTAAAGGGGAAAGGTTGCCTACCCCTGGTGTAGACACCCCCTAGGAAACCACTTCATAGTGGGTCAGATCTTTGGTCCATATAACCCTGGTATTGTCAGCTCTGATTGTCAGAATAGGTCTCTGGTTGGCAACGGGATTCTTCCCTAAATCTTCCTTGACGATCCCTGATACTCCTTGATGGACTTCCATCCAAATGCAAAACTTTTCTGAAGCTGTTTGGCTTCTAAAAATCAGAACACATTGGGTACGTTTAAGGTGTATGGTGATATATCCATTGACAGAGAATTGTTAAGAAAAGGAAGAAAAAGTGGAGATCTGCTCTGTCTTGCAAACTGGAACATCTTTTTCCTGCCCGATGTTACTTCCTTGCAGATGTCGTGTTTCTTTTCAAGCAAACACATTCATCAAACTTCCCTATGTGCTATATCACTGCTGAGCCACTTCCACTAGCCAAATTTATCATAAAACCAAGTACATTTCTTTGGCACCCAAGCTGGGGGAAATGAAGTTAAAACCACCTGTAGCAGAGTAGTGAGCTCATCTTTCACATCAGTATCCCCAAGCAGTAATATTCATTAAAATGGCTGTGGGGAAATAACAAAGTGATCTTAAGAGAGCTGCATAGTCCAGTCCTCTCAATGAAATGTGGGTGAGATTCTATATACTATGGTCCTAACTTTATGAATCCATAGCTACTTTGGTGGTGCAGTGGTTTCAGTGTTGGACTATGAGTCTGGAGACCAGGGTTCAATTCCCAGCTCAATCATGAAGCCGACTGGGTGACCTTTGGCAAGTCACATGCTCTCAGCCTCAGAGAAAGGCAATGGCAAACCTCCTCTCAACAAATCTTGCCAAGAAAATGCCATGATAGCATCACCTTAGGGTCACCATAAGTCAAAAATGACTTGAAGGCACACAACAACAAAGTCAGCAGGACGGCAAGAATAGAGTCTTTCCCTTCCCAGGATGCCCAGGCAAAGGCACACAGCTGCAGTCTCTCCTACCTTGGGCATTCTTCCTCATTACTACCCTTTGCCACCTTGACAACTCTCTGGTGTTGCTTGGCCAAATATGTCCCAGTTAAATTTTTTGGAATATTTGAGGGTATGGATGTTCTGTTTTTTTTTAAACACACACACACACACACACACACACACACAGAGAGACCCCTCATTTGCTGGGGTTAGGGGCACAGGACCCCCATGAAAGTGAAAAAACTGCAAATAATAAACCACTATTTTTTTTATCTGAGAGAACACCTCTCTAGGAATGTCTAGATCCTCCAGGGCAACTATATGGTCAACATGTGCCAGATACTGATCACAGAATTCCACTGAAGAACCTACAAATACCTAGAGAAATGATTATCTAGGAGTTTCCAGGTCCTCCAGCACAATTTCTGGCAGACGTTGACCATAGAGTCATACTGGAGAACCTAGAGATTCCTAGAAATCGGTGAATAATAAAATCTGCAAACGTCAAAGATGCAAATGTGCGGGGCCGACTGTATATAACTTTTTCCATTGAATTCTAATTCAACCAGATCAATTTTCTGTTTTTAAAAAAAGTCCGCATACACAAACAACTGAGAGTGACATCTTCCTCCACTTTGAAAATATGAAGAGCTATAGACATCAACGCTGCCACATCATTCAGCATTTGTTCTACTGTTTACATATTTCCCCCCTTAATGCTTCTTCTATTATTGCTTCTGGGAGCTATTTATGAGTTCCTAGAAGAAGAAGGGAGGAGGGAAAATCTCTCTACTGTGTGTTTCTACTACTTAGGAACATAAATAGTGTGAGGACACCAGGTCTAGCATTATTAAGACTTTGCCTAAGGCACTGAATAAAACCTATGAGACAGGGATGGAAAAGAGAGAGAGAACCAAATGGAAACAGCTGTAACACAGCTACTTGCTTTCCAAATCTACCAGGGAATATTGTGTCAGACACTTGTTTTTGCTCAGGGATCAAACAACAAGGGATCAAACAACAAGGGCCAAAATGCCCTCAAGGAACCCCTTTCCACCTGTCTTGGAAGCTAAGCAGGGTCAGCCCTTGTTAGCATGTGGATGGAAGACTGCCAATGATGTGCTGTAGGCAATATTTTTGAGGAAGGAATTGGCAAAACCATCTCTGAGGACCCTTTCCCTAAGAAAAACCTATGAAATTCATGCCATAAGTTGATGGGTAACTTGAAGGCATATACACACACTTCAGAAAACAAAACACTAGGCAAAGAAAGACTAGTGGGAAATCTAGAAGGCTACAAGTCCATTGTGAATCTGGAAATGGAGGGCTTGTATGGGATTCAGGACATGTCATGCCTTTCTGTTGAAATGTGGAAAGGATGTATTTTGGGCTAAAATTCCCTCCCTGAATGGAGCTTGGAAAATCTAGTTTTGAATTTCACCTCCCAGAATCTTAGAGCCACTGCCTCTTAAAAGGCAGCAACCCATCCTCTCCTCAGGCTAGAGATTAGAAAATGTACATTTTTACACTACAACCTCCGGAACCCCACAGCCAAGCTTTCTAAGCACTGTTTTCTGCATATAGAACACAGAAGCCTGCTTTATACTGAGTGACACCCAGGGATGCAAAAGAAATACATTGTATTTCACTTTCCCCATGAAAACTGATGTTCTCTAACTCCCCAAAATAGGAACAGGACAAAACACAGCTTGACTCTGAATTTCCAGAGTTTGTGATGCATTTTAGTGTAAATAAAATAGGCACGGAACTATGGCTGGCATCCTATTAGTGACATGTGTATATATATGTCATACTGTGCATGCAGAGTGAATTATTCACCATGGTGCAACTGACACAACATGGCAGCAGCAGAAGTGGGGTTGTGCATTCAATGATGTTGCTCATTATGGTTGTGCATTGCACATTGTGATTATACAACATGAATTTCAGTTTTGCATTGTGATTACACATTGCACAACAGCACCTATTCATTAACATAGAATTGTAGAGTTGGAAGAGACCCCAAGGGCCATCCAGTCCAACACCATTCTACCATGCAGAAAAACACAGTTAAAGCACTCCTGACAGATGGGCATCCAAACTCTGTTTAAAAGCCTCCAAAGGAGACTCCACCATTCTCCAAGCAGCATCTTCTACTGTTGAACAGTCTTTACCATCAGGAATTTCTTCCTAATGTTTAGGTGGAATCCCTTTTCCTGTAGCTTGAATCCATTGCTCTGTGTCCTACTCAATAGAGCAGAGTAAACAAGCTTGATCCTTCTTCCATATGACATCCTTTCAAATATTTAAACATGGCTATCATGTCACCCCTTAACCTTCTCTTCTCCAGGCTAAACATACCCAGCTTCCTAAGCCACTCCTCATAGGGCATGGTTTCCAGACCTTTTACTCTTTTGGTCACCTTCTTCTGGACACACTCCAGCATGTGTTCTGGAATGATGTTATTTTGCAACCAAGTTGTATAGTCCTTGCATATTGTATGTCCACATCTGGATATTTATGCTCTATTGTGGGCATGTTGGATTGCAGCCCATTTGTGCACTTCTGAAAATGATGCACAATTAAAAATGTGTACAGTTGAAAAATGTAGAAAAACAATTTAATCAATTGTTAAAATGTGTACCTAGGGAAACATATATATCAAAATATGCACATATCTTTGAGCAGGAAAGGTGAGAGGTCTTGTAACATAATAGGAGAATTAATAAATTGTAAGGATATAAAAGTTCTGTTGAAAATCTGAGTCTATAGCCTAGGAAGCCACCATAGACCCAGAACAGGAGGGGATGAACACAGGACTAGGATGGGAGGAAGGCTGAGCCCCCCCCCCC